TATTTTTATTGTATTCAAATAAGTTTTTTCCTTTCATATGTATTTATATAAGTCATTACTTCAAATAAAAGATGTATTTATATTAAAGACTTATTTAGGTACACTTTAAAGATTAAGGACTTATTTTATATAAATTAAAATTTAAAAATTTATTCGTAATAAAATTATAATGTCTTATGTAAAAAAATTGATAAAGTTTAGGAACTCTTTTTATTATTTTAACTGTAAAATTTTTGGATAAAAATTTTAAGATTTTTTAATAAAAAAGATTAAATATAATTAATTTAATAAATTAAAACTTATAAATTAATAGAGTTTAATGAATAAGTGAAAAATATGTAAAATTTTATTAAAAATGTTTTTTTTTTAATTCAAGACTAAATAATGGTGAAAATTGTCATATTTTTTGGTAAAAAAATTATCCAAAAAAAAAATCAAAACATATAAAAATTTTTTAAAATTGTACACTTAATTAATATATGTATGAAGGATTTTGATATATAATTTTTATTTTTAAAATTCATTTATTTTAATTGTTTTTATTAAAAAAATTAAGGAACTTTAGTTAAATCTTTCTCGTAAGCCTTTAAAGAGATTTGTTTTGGGCCTCCGGTCCAGTTAGATTGGAAAGAACGAGCTTGAGCAATCGAAGTGCACGCCCGTGTATTGAATGGGTCAGTAATTGTTTGAGGCCTATTATTCGAGCAACAAAACCATCCAAAACTATAACACAACCCAAACAAGAATGCTATTTACTTGGGCTTATTTCTCTCATTTGTTTCCAGATATGATAAAAAGCAAACAACATTACCATTCAAATTCCACTAAAAAGTTTTTAACCCTCATGGTTTTTTTTTTCTTGGGGTAAATTAGACGATTCGGTGCAATTAGCAATACTCATAAGATAAATTATCAGTTTCGGAGAAATTGTCTTCAACATATTAGAAATAAAATTGTTCTTTACGGTCAACGAAGTTGCTTTATTGATAAGATTTGATTTTCATTGACAGCTGTCCCTTTTAATGCCAATATAGTATAGCCTACCTTGCTTAAACTTTTGTGCACCCCTCCCAGTCTCTATCTCTTTCTCAGGTACAGTAATGATTAGTTGCATGATTTATTAGGCGTAGAGGAATGGGTCCGCTGCTCTCTGCGTCCTCTTTTTTTTTGTTTTTGTTTTAATCTTTTTCGTTTTCTAACCCTTAATGATAGCTTTAGCTTCCAAGTCGCATCACCCGCCCCAAGATACATATATATACTCGTAGTATATAATAGTATCGAGACAAGTCTTGGGTGACCCATCGAGACAAGTCTTGGGTGACCCAGCCAGGCTGCGACTTGAGCCACAGCCCCACAACATCCCCATCTGTCTGTCTCTCCCCAGACATCCGCTCTTTGATCACATTGTTATTTCAGAAAGTAGAGAACAAAACACTACACATGCGAGAGAAACAGACAGATCAAAAGCGGAGAAATAATAGCAAGAGATAAGGAAGCAGAGAAATAATAGTAGTAGTAGTATTTTTTATAATATGTCCGATGATGCATCTGATCATGACTGATGATGTTTGTCCGATACTGCAGAGACACTACATGTATGGTTTTTTTTTTTTTTTTCAAAATTTATATTAATAAAATAATATGGTAAGCTGATAGATCATATGGCTTACACTTTTCAACGGTCATCACAGAGACGGAATATTGTCGTATTCTATTATCCCCGCGAAACAGGACCACTTTGAATTTGAAATCAGCAACTCAGCAGCTCTCTCTGATAGATTCAATTTAGATTTCAGCGTTAGTGAAGTGTAGTCAGGATTCAGGAATATTGTGTAGGTGGAATCTGCCAAGTTTTGCGTAAAAACTGAATCTCTCAACACTTATGATCTCAGCTCAGCTGCCCCTTATCTATATCTCTATGTTTTAATTGCTACTTAAATATTATTAAAATTTAGTTTATCCAATTTTATTTTAAATTTTTATTTCTAAGGGTTTATGGTACATCTTTATTCAAAATACTCACAATATATATATATGTATTTTTCCTTTCACAAGAATTAGATCAGTTGATATAAAAACTCACTTTTCTTATTAACTAGAATTCAATTCTTAAAATTCTGAATAAATCAAACTGATGTAAAAGAATGTGTCCCGAGGAGGGGTAAAGTCCACCTAAAACCTAAGAATATCTTTGAGAGGTACTACGATTTCAAATCCTTATCAACTGAAGATAAAAGGTGATAAGCACGAATTATTCAGATTAGTCTATATTCTATTTATCATCTAACTTTTATGTTTAACTTTGTTAAATTTATAACCATACACTAACTTTAAATATAAATATGCGCAAAATTGCAATTTATGCTTTTCTTCTCATTTCTTCTGTCCAGTGTTTTATTAAATTCATTCTTTGATTATTTTATTCACAACATAAGCACCAAAAATTCAATTGGTGTGATAGGAATATTGACTTTATGAAAACTCTCATAGCAGAAAGCATCTCTCGGTCCTATAGCTTTCAAGGAAGCTTGTTCTCTACAATTTGTGCCATCATTTGATCATTGTCATTGCCGTAATTCATCTTTGTTTCTTTGTTTTTTTTTTTTTTTTTCATTGTGGGAAAGGAACAAAAATTTTTGGCTAGCTTCTCCCTAGGGATATAAACAAATCAAACATTATCGGTTTATTTTCATTGTGGGAAAAAATAAAAAATTTGTGGCTAGTTTTCTCCCTAGGATATGAACAAATCAAACATTATCAAATTTTGTTATGTTTATAATCTATTTGTTTTATCAATGAATCATGAAATGTTATTTATAATCATTTATTAAATTAAATAAACGAATAAAAATCAAACTTGTTCATGAATTATTCATCGAATATTATATTTATTTATATTTTCACATTATAAATAAAGTTTATTATATTCGTTATTCATTTATTTAATTAAAAAATTTTGAAATATTATTAATAATCATTTATTAAATTTAATAAATAAATATAAATAAATAAAATTTAAATATGTCTATGAATTATTTGTTAATTAACATTCTGTCCATTTTCCCTTGCTTCTAGTGTTTAAAGCAATCAGCTAAAAATGGTGATAAATTTAAAGTGGTACAAAATTTCATAACCATATGACACACACCCAGAAAGGGTGCTTACCAATAGCTCCTAATCATCTCTTTGGCGCAAATAATAGATCCAACGTACATCAATCAATGGGACTCCGTCAACTATGTCCTCATCCCACATCATCAATCATCATAAATGTTTCCAATAAAAAGAACTAAAAAGAACCCTAATCATCAATTAAAAACACTACTCTCAGTTATAGAATTGTATTGTATGTATGTACCATTTGACTTTCTTCTTCCTACATTAAATTTGATTTGCATTGAATTTCCCGCTCACTCCTTATAGTTTCAATTAATTCCATTTACCACTTCTACTGTAGTTTATATAATGCGTCCACTTTAGGTTACCGTAGCTATTACAATTGAAAATCCTAAGGCCAAAGCCTTGGTCAGTCATGTTATTATTAATAATTAATGATTTTTTAATTAAAATCTTTCCCTTAAATTAATTATATTCTGATTGGCTCCTGCTTTTGTTTTTTTACTATTTGTTTCTTGATTTTAGTTCATTTTGTATTTTTTGCTCTTCACTTTTTTATTACAAAAAGAAAAAAAAACCGGTTGTAGTATAATTAGTATTAGTATTATTCTAGTGCAATTGAGCAAGGCTAATTAGGATGGGTAATGTTATTTCTGGGAATTGTCTGGGCATTTATGCACCCTGCCCTGCATGCTGTTGTATTTTCATCTCTTGACTTAGTTTCCACCTGTCTGCCTCATTTAATGTATACATACATATATATATATATAATTTTTGTTTTATTGATAAGATATGATGAGCAGACATGACCGCGCCTTTGTTCGTGTTCCCTTTCTAGCAATAATTTAACTCTATAACTGTATATAACACTGTGTTATTTTTGTACTAGTGATAACTGATGAAAAAATTCTAAAAATTTATTTATAATTTATAAAGATATATTTTTAATTTAACACATTTTTTATTTAAGCATTTTTACTTCTATTTCATTTTTCTTCGTTCCTTGTTTAGTTTTAATTATTATTATTATTATTATTATTATATATATTAAAAGAAAAAAGAAATAGTCTTGCTGTTGTGTTTGAGTAAGTATTTTTATAAATATAAATTCATGGTACGTAAAAAGATTCTTCGTCATAAATTTGTGCACTTTGGGCTATTTTTCTCGTTCTTTTCAACTCTTCTCTATGTTGTAGAAAGCTAAATATATCTAAAGCAAAAGTGAAGAAAAATTCATAGTATTCCAACGGGATTTGGACTTGGCTACTTGTCTGCATTAGGAATTAGGATTATGCTTGTGAAAGTTTCAACTTTAGCTGCGTGGCTTTAAAAATACACGTAAATACACCTTCTCATCGATCAGGTCCAACTCCAATCCATGCACACTATCCATCTTTCGACTTTTGTCCTTTTACTGCTGCGTGCTTTGCGACCTCTCTTTTCTCTTTTCCCTTTTAGTATTTTGTTTCTCCCTTTCATCTCTCCTTTCAATTTCCCCTTGGGGGTTGGTTCCAGTGCCACTTTACAAGCTCACACTTCCATGGAATGGAGAACCATATCTAGCTAATCTAATTCACAACGATTCTCTTACCTTTCCTGTTTAATCTAAAAGCAAATGATTAGCTAATCTTTCCTTTGGTTGGCCTTTAATTAATTTCTTCAGTTTCCATCTGTTCAAGAAGACACCATCACTTGATGCATGGCTGTTCTTTCCTAGTTTTCATGTAAATGAAATGAACCAAATGGGAAAAAAAAATCAAAACTTGAAAGAATTTTACTGAAAAGAATCAAACTCAAATATTAATTATGGGACGGAAAGGGTATATAATATATAAATGCAGCCATAGCATCAGCTAGTATATTACATCGAAACGAGTCTCCAGTCTTCAACTTTGAAGAACCAAAATTTTCTAACTTTTTTAAAGGACCCAAAAAGAATATGCTACTGCTACTAATCATTTTCCAAAAAAACAAAAGGATGATACATTATTGAAATCTATATACAAAAGAAAAGAGAGAGAAAATGAGGAATGGATTCCTCTGTCACTGCTGCGTTTTAAGAACCAATCAAAAAGCGAATAGCATCCCATCACGTGAATCACTCATGTGCCCATTTTTCTCTGTCTCCCAAAGTTAACGGTGCCGCATCATTCTAAAACGAGGTCCTTTGAACGTTCAAACTCCTACACCAAAACCCAGAGCCGTTTCATGTACTAGCGCCTCCAATATGTCCTTCTCTATCTCTGCTACAATGCCTTCCCCTTCTTCCTTGTATGCCATTACACTCTGGAGCTTCATTTCTGGAAAATCCTTGTCAATTAATGCATCAATGTCTTCAAGAACACGACAATCAGCTCGAGGAAAGCTTCTAATTTTAGAGCACAATGTGTCTAATAGCTGAGACCCATCCATGTGACTAAAATATTCATGCCCAACTGTAACAACCCAAGGCTTCATATTAAAATAAGGCTTCAAAATTTCAATCAAAATTTCATCGACCAGATGAAACAGCAATTTTCTATTGCATCGATGGCTCAATTGACAAGACTTGGTTTTATTATTTTTATCATTAGTATTATAGGAGAGGATGGTAGTGGAACAAATGGTGAAATGTTCGAGGTAGTAAAAAATAGAAGGGTCAAGGGGATGGGAAGGAGAGAACCAGGAAGTGAAGGACACTGGGGTATCTTTGTCCAAGCCTGTACGTCTTAGTATTCTAGCTATGTACTCATATTCTGCTTCATCACCGGTGGTGGTAGTGCTAGTGGAAGTAGTAGCATCGTTACATCTGTCGCCGCTGTTGTCGTCTTGAGCAACGTGTACGTGAGTCGCTTCATGTTTGTTGTACGTTTGGCTCGAACAACTAGATAACTGTGAACTACGTTTCGGTCTTTGAGCATCTAAGACCTGTAAAGCATCTAAACAATAAGTTTGATACCAAAAAGTCATATTTTTTCTTCAAGATGAATAGTAAAATTTCCATGTCGTGTGGCTAAGTTATATTATATTAAAAAAAAAGTAAGACAGTACTAAATTGATAACCTGTTTTTCCGGGATTTTTGTGGCTGGAGGAGAAGGATCTTTTTTTACTGGAAGAAGGGTAGGGACCGAGATGTTGAGGAGATGATTTGACAACGGGGTTTTCCTGCATTTCTTGTCAGGAATGTTAACTCTGTTGGCTGTGGAAGGACGAACGAAAGGCTCTTCTTGCTTGTTTCGAATAATATCCGATGTTGGTTGAGGCTTTTTAAGCCGTAAGCCGAACTTTACACTGGACCCTTTCTTGTATTTACTTGCGACTCTTGGCAGCTGCTGCTGCTGATTGTGATGCTCATCTTGTTCCTCTCCAACAGGCTGCAACTTGGGCTTTGGTAAAACTCTGATGGGCTGAGGCTGGATATTGATATCAGGAGATGATGAAAATGATGATTTTGGAGGCTGATCAGGATTATGATCTATGGTGGATGAATTTATGTCTGGTTTGATTTTGGATTCCAAGAATCTAAGCCTTGGTGAACAGGAAGGCGTTGAGTGCTTGCCGGGGCTTGAATCATCTGCAACTTTGGTTAAAACCCTGGAAATTTTCTTATATTTGAATTGGCTAAGAAGCTCTTCTCTGGCTTGCTCTCTGTTTCGAACTGTGTTGGTTATGTCCATACCAACTTTCCTGCCAACACTTTCTTTAACCTGCTTCACTATCTGCCTAGCGTACTGACCGGGGCTTCTGTTCTCATCTTCATGTTTGAGCTCTTTCCTTTTCAATGATGAGAGACGAGAAATGACCAACTCTTCACTAGCGCTCATGTTCTCCTTGTTGAGTTGAAGCGAAAGGCGATGGTGATGATCCACGTCTGACCTTCTTGCAGACGATATTCTTGGAGTTTCTGGCAATGAGCGAGTGCCCCTGATATCACCATCCAATGATTTTCTATGACCAGTTATTTTGCTTTGGAGAGGCTTGAGGGGTTGAATGTGGTGATTTAAACTAGACTTAGCTTGAAAATTTGGTGCTGATGAAAAAGATGGTGAACGGCTTTCAGGGAGAAGATCAAGACCCATGAGCCTAGCAACCAGATTAGGAGTCTTGGTCCCTGGGGAGCTGCTAATCTCTGAAGAAGTGTCATTATTTGGGGCTCCAGCTTTTGAACGTGCATTTCCGCTTGTTTTTATTTGAATTCCCATCTGGATTTTCATTTTTTTATTTTTTTTAAAAAGCAAACATTAAGGTTATATATATCATTATCATTATCATCATTATTACTCACTTTTCAAAAAAAAAAATGCCAATCTTTGGAAATGAAAATAAAAAAGGCTAGGAACCCAAAAAGATGAAGAAATAAAATAAAACATACTTATTTTAATAATCCTTAATTAACTTACTGGGATATTTAAATTTTCTTCTTCTTTACTAGTTGATGTCAATGAAGCTGAAGCTGAAGTTGAAGTTGAACCTTCCTCCTCTGATTCCAAACTGTTCCTTGGCGCCTCTGCACCTGCATTGCATTGGAAATGGAACCTGTTACTCTCCTCAGAATTTGAAAATAGAAGGAAAGAAAGAAGAGAGAGTGAGTGACAGAAGGAACCTTTAAGGGTGGTGGTGTCTGGAGAGAGAAAAGAGTCAGGCTTGAAACAACTACAACTGCTACTACTAGTCTGGTCGCTTAAAGAGAACTGGAAATGATGGAAATCAAACAAGTGAAAGACAGCACTGATGCAACTAGACGGAGTAGTTTGACCAGAGTCTTTCTCTGATGCCCTCTTGTTGGAGGTTGAGGAACTTTTAGCCCAACTACCCCAATACCAGTCCCTCCCCATATCCTCAAGGAAAACCTCTCTCCTGCTTGGAAAAATATAAAAAGATGCTAAGCAAAAAGAATTAAAAAAAAAAAAAAGGTTCCCTCGAGCAACGGAAAGATATGAGGGTGACAACGACAGAAGAAGAAGAAGAAGAAGGAGTCCAGTTGTTAGAACAGAGGGATGGAGAGGGTGGACAGACAGGAGAGAACGTGGAAGAGTGTGTTGGTTTGAGGTCCGAAGAAAAGCTGAAAGGTTATAGGACGCTGGGGAAGAAGCAGAAGCGAGAAAAGCGGATCCATCAAGGATAAATCAGCCACATTTTATTTAAGTACAACAAAAAGGTTGGTTTGTGGGTGTAGCCTATAGCGTATGCATCTCTGTCTCTCTTCCCTTTATTTGTTTATTTTTTTAATTTCTTTAGGATCCAATCTTCTTTATATCTTATTGTTTACACTCACTCCCAAGTTTTACCACAGACCATGACTAGAATCATTTCTCTCTGCCTCTCTCATTGGGAACTGGAATTGGTAAAATAAAAAAGGCTAAACTAGTAGTAATGATAATAAAATTGCAAAAGTGATGACGATACGACCACTCGCCATTTTATCTCTCCATCCGAAATGCAGACACATAAACAATCTCTCACTCTCAAGCTCGATTTACAATATGATTCCCACTTGGGTTTTATATACGAGATGGTTTATTGGGTATCTGCAACGTAAGCCTGCCTGTGACCCCCCAGGTTATGACGTTTTATCCTTTCATTTTTCTCTTTCACCCTGGATCACGGTTGACAGAAGCACGATCAGGGGTCCCTGGAATTTGGTAAACTAAAAATTCCTACTACTAACATAAATAACCGACTTCTGGAACTTGCATACTCGTATCTACTTCTTTGATACTACGAATGACCCGCTATTTACTATTGAAGAAGCTCAAAATGGACGCATAGATCTAACCCATCCAGCGTAAGGGGTATCAAGATTTCGTTGCGTTGGGTTGGGTTGATATTGGTTTCTACTGTGAATATGCTGGTGGTAACTTAAAGTTGGACTTTAGAATCGCTATTTTTTTTTTGATTTGTGATAAATAGTATGCAATTATATACAATTTAGCTGGAAACAAAATGTTGTGAGCTCGGAAGGGACTATTACTCCCAGCTATTTATTCTAGCAGTCATGATTTAAAATTTGATTCACCTGAGAATAGTCACCGGAAAGTTCCATTTATTAGGAAAAGATCAAATAATGCAATTAGTTGAACTTTAAACTTTAGTCCTTATATAATAATTTACAAAAATTCAATTCTTATATTAATTTAATTTAATAATATTGGTTCAATTAGTAACAATATTACTTAAATTTTGTTAAAGTTGTTGACGTAGTCATTGATTATGCTGATATGGTATTAACTTTAATGATAAGAGATTAATTTGTTGACATGATAATTGGGATTAATAAAATCAATTGTTAAAATATATAAATGGTCATAATACTCATTTGAAATTTAAAATTTAGTCTTAATGCTTATACAAAATTAAGATTTAGTTCTTGTACTATACGAAATTTGAAATTTAGCCCTCTAATGCAAAAAAATATTTTGAATTTTTAAAAATTTTCTAGTTTTTTAAAACATTAAATTTTAAAAATTACTATAATATTCTCTCATAATATTTTATCACAATATTAAAAATCTATTAAAATATTAGTCACAATTTTCATATATTATCACTAAATCTATCACAATTTTTTGTCACCCTTATGAAATACTATTATTAGTTCTATAACTATTTCTTATTATATTCTATCATAAAATATAAATTTATTACTAATTTTTTTAAACTTTTTTGTCACAATATATTGTAATATATTGTGACCATATGAACAAAAATCTTAAACCATTATATTAAAAATGTATCATAAATTTGTCAATATATGATACAAATCTATCACAATTTAATTTTAACAAAACTATTATTTTTTGTTAACTTATCTAATAAATTAGAATTATAATTATATCCCATAAGGGTAACATTATCCATAAAGCAATGTTTCTATTCTTTTAAATTAAACCCTATTTAAATGATTTTTTATAATAAATATAGGTTCAAGATTCTAAATAAATTAAAGTAATTTACAAAACTTAATGTGTATTAGTTTTAAAATTAATCTTAGTATTTAATTTAATATAATTATTTAAATAAGGTTTTTTGTGAAGACCCAAAAAATTAAAAGTTCTCATTAGAATATACAATATTGAAGTTTCAGTTTATTAAATAAATTATTTTTTCCTTTCATTTTATTAGGATTCAGAGTTTGTCTTTCAAATATTATAGGAGCTTATACCTTGTAAGAATCTAGGTTTGAATCTTTTATTTTGCTTGATTGGATGGAATGATTATTTCATTTATGGTCTATTTCAAATTCATTTCATTTATGGTCTATTTCAGATTCATTACGAATAAATAGTTTAGTTCATTATAAATTTTATTATATGATATATTTATACTAATTAAAATAATATTAACTTTGATATACTAATTTAAATTATTAATATTATAATTGATTAATATTAATGATAATAATAATATATATTAATATGATATTATTATTAATTAATTGTAATAATAAAAACTAATATATTAAAGGACTAAAATATTTTTAAAATTTAATATTTTTAAAAAACTAAAAAAAATCAAAATAATTTTTTTGTATTAGAGAGATTAAATTTTAAATTTTGTGTGAGTATATGTACCACTTGCATAATTTAACAAATAATTTCATTAATCCCAATTGTTACATTAACAAATTAATGTCATGTCATTAAAGTTAATGTCAAATCAATATGATCAAAAGTCACATCAACTAATTTAATAGAGATCGAGAAACACTTATATTAAATAAACCAATATTATTAAATTAAACTAGTATGAGGATCTAATTTTTACAAATTTTTATATAGAAACTAAAGTTTAAATTTCATTTAAATATATGGATTAATTGTATACTTTGACCTTAAGAGAAAAAAAAAACATTTTTTTAAAATGAGTCCCTTTGGAAGTTGTTGGCAAAATCTCAAAAAAAAAAAAAAACCCCTTTTTATATAATGAGAAAGTACAAACTTTTTTTTTATAAGATTAAAGATTTAAAATGCGGACGCAACCATAATTTTTATTACATTATGTTTTGTCATAATTGTGGATATAACAGATAAGATAATGCAAATAAACTAATTAAAATATAGTTTGATGTTTTAATAGTTATGCTTATCATGGTCTTGAATGTTTTTAAAATTTTCATAATGAAACAAAATAATAATTTGATATAATCATATTTATTAGGATATTTAAAATAATTTATAATATTTTAATCTTATATTTATTATGGTGAATAACGATGATGAAAAGTGATGTTATCACTAAATTACAACTGTTATATCGTGTCACAGAAATTATTTAAATCCATGGATAACATACTAAACTTGCAAAACAATTACAATTAGAGGATATTAGATTCATATAATCTTTTGTTTCAATATGTAGTGTTCATAGACGTAGTTTTGTATGACAAAGGAAAAAAAAAAAAGATCAGAATTGATTATTCAATCAAACAAACATGAAAGGGGTAGTGCTGGGCGGTGGGTGTGCAGGATTTCCGACAAGGGATGGGCATTAGGACAAATTAACAGTGTTAGGAGCCTCCTTATAACTGATAATAAAATCCCACTTGTGACTGAGATAGAGGTTTGTTAGTTTCATGTACGTTACTCGCCTCTTAGGAGTGACTATTGACATCCACAGCGCGTGGCTTGGCTCAGGGACCACAGCTGGGTTTCTTCCTACGTTTCTATTTTTTTTTTTTTTAATTTGGATGTGTCAATAACTTTTCATTCATGTTCTAGCCAATATCCATTTCCAGTCTGTCCTTTGAGGAGCAAGGAGAAGGAGAGGGATTTCTTTTCTTCGAAAATTGGTCCCAGTTTTATTATGGGCTCAATCGAAGGCCTTAGCCTTACAAATTACAACTTGCAATCCCTTCCGTACCATGATGTGAGTTCCTCTCTGCATTCTTGATGGGACTCAGAACCCGAGAGAGTTTATCGTGCCTCATTTTTCAAATTCCTTTTCTTATCCTCCATCATGATTTTATTTTTACCCCCCACTAGGAAAGAGAATCAGAGAAGATGAGGAATAGGAAATGGAACGATAGAAACAGCAATCACACGTTGTTAAAACTTCGAAAGATAACCATGACGGAAAATAGAAAAATTTTCATCGTCTGATTCTTTAATTCCTTTCGTGCTGAATAAGAAAAAAAATTTTTGAAAGCACTGATACAGTGACAATGCCGCTTCTCATAGCAAATTCTTCATGCTTGCAGCCAAAAGGTAATTAATGGTAATAAATGACAAAAATGACAGTCCAGAGCCAGAGGCTTGGTTTGACCCACTACTTGCGTGAAAATTACAATAGAATCATCAAGTCGTAGCAGCCAGCACCACTGTCCTACTCTTGTTCTGAAGTCTTCTGATGAACAATGGCAACGAAATATAGGCTGGCAACCCTAACCTACCCTCTTCACAGTAGAGTTCTTACAGCGAAATGACCAGCATTCAAACAGTGGCATGACTTACCACTAAAATCATAGACTCGGGGAAAAAAGGCCCTTTCTGTGGTTAGTCTATCTAAACCCATTTCATTCCATAAATGTATTCAACAACCTTACGAGTACCGCTCAGAAGTCTGATCTGATCCTTCAAGGTCTATTACTTTGAAGGTTTCAATAGCAAATCAGAATAGCCTGCAATGCATCTAAGCTATTATTAACATTTGCACATGTTATTTTTCTTTAAAGTGTAATTTTTTAAAAATATTTCTGATGTACTTTTATTGTCTTCAATCCAAGCGTACAATGCAGAGCACCAAGGCGTCTGGGGAGGAACACTCCCTGCCAGCATATAAAGCTATCCAACATCTCAGTTAATGTTCACAAACCACGATACCTGCATGCCATCCAAGTGAAAATGATCTTCCAGAGCTTACAGTGAAGAAGCAGGCACGTGCATTTACTCTTCCCGGCCACATAAATCAAACCTAATGCATTTAACAGAAATCAATTCTTATAAAGATCACCAGCGAGATTTAAAGGAAAGATATTTCCCGGTAAAATTCTTATGCCATACCACAGTTTCTTGTTATCATCGTTAGCCGCTTTCATACATTCACTCGGCCACACATGATTAGATGAACAGAGCATTCGAAACTTGAAATTTTAAACAGTTGTTGTTCTCAATTCCCAGTCGTGGAAAATTGCCACAAGCAGTGGAGAAATAGATGCAGAATTAGTTTACATGACAACATGAAAAAGATGAATGTGTCAATCAGTCTGATGTGGCACAAAACAATGTAATTGCAATCATCTAAAGCAGCTTGGGCAGACACAATGATTCAGTACAGTGAACATGAACCAGTAGAACCACCTCACGCCAACAGAGTTCAGCATACTTAATCTAGTGGAAGCCAATCTCACCTCTAACACAACTAGAGACTTAACTGTACATTTCCAGCATTTATTGACTACTATTTTCAAAAGAGCTGAGTGATTTCAACTACACGACGCCCAATACATTAATCTAGAGCATACAAAATGAATTTATTAGACTGTTAAAAGCTGGTGTTGAATGTATTAGAGGTAAGAACAAGGAAAAGGCAAAAGGGAGTCTTTAGCAGCACAACATACATGTCACATTGTTAGATCATATGATGCACAGAAGATTAAGAATAAATTCAGTCTTCAAAAATAATTAATCGAAAAATGCAACACACGAAATTATCCCCTTCTTTCTTGGTATTCTCAGCAGCAAGAGTATATGAATCTCTGCTCACTTGATTAGTCCTAATTAATTCCGGCACAAAAGCCAAGAATCCACCATTCACAAAATCACAACACTAGTATTATCTCATGGGTAAGAGAGTTTGATCAAGATTCAGCACAAGAGGTTTCAGCTGCAACTCTTGAACACAGCCTCCCCTCCTTTTCAACCCAAACAGAAACAGATCTATGGCATTCTATCATCCAGAAGATTTACCTAAACTCAGTGGCAAAACTTTCAAAACCCAAGCCCTTCATCTATTTTACATATATTCAATCGATTAGAGAAATACTTTTCCACTAAAATTCAGATTTCAGCTTTTGATACCAAAGAGAGGATTTCCATTTTTATTAATTTTTTAAAGAGAGTTTCTAAATGATTTCCTGCTTGAAGATGACACTAGTGACATATATCAGTCCTGGAAATGAATAAGAAAGAAAAGCCAAATGGCATCATTCATATCAACAAGGTACATGCAATTGAAAGAATACAATAAAGAGTAAAAATCAAGAAAAAAAAGGGCAGAAAGACTTCCGATACCCATAACATAAGCAAACACAGATAATTTGCCCTGAACCTTCAGCAAACAAAAGAAAAGATCTGAAATGATGCTTCTAAGTTCTAGCATCCACATCAAACCCTGCTCCGGTCCAGCCAGGTGCTGCAGACCCTCTACCCTTGGGCATAGCAACAAACCCCTTTCCTCTTCCTTGAAAATGGCTTTTCTTCTTTCCCTTTACTTCTCTATCATTGGTGGGCGGTTGATTCTGCCCATTCATAACTGGAGCATATCCAGCATTACCTCGATTAGGTAAATTTTCAGAAACAGTAGAGTCTGCTTCTGTTGTTTGTGGAATTGGGGAAGCATCTACAGTTACAGCACCCTGTGCAAATCCAATAGCTTTCATGTCCTAAACATGAACCAAGTGCAAACTTTCAACAATTTTTCTACGATTTACTCACATATATCAGTGCTTATAGTAATCCACAATCCTGAGAACACAAAAGAAATACAAAAAATGTTGCCAAGCAACAGGGCCCTTCTGTTAAGCGGGCAGTTTAGTTTGGCTTCTTCAGAATAGCCATTTCCAAAATGATCCTGGCTCACTATGAGTAGATCAGGGAATTGATATAGGCATTTTTGAAACCAATTTCCATACATCTAGAGTAGTTTATTATATTAGAACAAACATAATCTTAGAAAGATCAGCAAATTAAGACTTCTGATCTCACTTCATATTTTTCGCCGCCTTCTTTTTTGGGGCAAGGGGCAGTTTAAATTGATTGATAGAACTACTGCCTAGAAGGAGCCAAACATTAACAAAAAATCAACAAGGCCTATACGTGATGGTCAAGAAAGTTTTTGTTGAGTTTGTAGGCATGCTCACACATGAATATCTTTTCCATTTCAATATGACATTCCCTTATCAATCCAGTTTATTACACAGTGAATCCAAAAACGATTAGCAATAGAAAATCACAAGCAGAAATTACAAGAACAGAGAACCATTTTGATTTTTCCATTGGGTGACGTGTCTTTTCTGATGACTGTTGTAAAGCAGTTATCTTCTCCACATAAAGGACTGTATAAGTATATACTACATAGTATAATAAGGAGAAATAAGCTTACATGATGAGACAAAATGGATGTTCTACTTGGGTTCAGAGCTTCCATTCGCCTTTTCAACTCCTCAAGTCAGGTAAACTGAGAGTTACTGCTTTCTCGAACCTATCAACGAAATGCATCAAATAGTTACACAGTGCATTAATGCCTACTTATCCACCCATAGCAAAGAAGCATGCCAGATTGTTTAAGTCCTAAATCTGAAATGCATATAAACAGGCTGCTATCAAATTGAAGATAGGAGGCAATATGCTTGCCAATAAAATGGATAGTAAAAAAACTGAAAAATTATTCAGTTGCCTGCCGCAAGTCCAAAAAACCAGTTTTGACCTTAATTAATTCAAATACAACCATACCCATTAGTGTTTAAGCAAATTCCAGAATCTATCTCAATCTGCAAACCCATGCGGGAAGACTAAAGTGTTACAGTAGTGAATTCCCTCATTTCAGATAAAATGATTTTACCTTGGTTACAGTAACATCTGAATATTTGCATTGGAAAGTGTTTTTCATGTTAAAATTTTATGATTTGGCCCGTCAGGTCCCTAATCAACCTAGTATTGCTGCCCCATTGAAGCAGACAGAAGTGCCAGAAAATATTGAGAACTCTACTTTGTTTAATAAAAGATGAGATATAAGGCCATAATACAAGCTCAATTAAACTTGAGAGAGAGAGAGAGAGTGAATATGACAAACCTTTCGTGCTTTTTCTTCCTTCTGCTTGCTTCTGCTTTGCAATGCGTATTCTCTCAGTTGACATTTCAATTTTCTTTCTCATATGTTCAAGGGCTGAAGGTACGCACCACGTATTAACCACTCCACTATAGAAAAATACACATAAATGAAGAAATATTTCATATAATGGTAAAAACACACCAAACTCCTTTTTTCGGCCCAGCAATGAGTTTCATCTCCATTGTACAATTCGCTGGTTCTCTTTCAACATCACGAATTTTAGAATAATTTTCTTCTATGTACCTGAAAGTGTGCATCAAAGGAGATTAGATAAAATCCCCCAACAAATTAAATCATGAGAAACAGACTCAAAGAACATTAAAAAGAAGAGAAAAAATAACTTTATAACTTATAGTCCTCTTTCTACTTTTGTACTAGTAAATGCTACACACTGAAAATTAAATTCTTAAAAGTTAAAGCAAATAAATTTTATAATTTAAATAACTAAATTATGAGGGAAAAAGCTACTTTCTTACGCTTTTTTGGTATGTAAGTAAACAAAGATTGTCAAATTGAAGTTTTTCAATATTAATTAGTTAATGCAGCTCATGAATTGAAAGAAAAAAAAATGCCAGGGTTCATAACCAAGTACAAATTGAATCAATTTCAGCTTTGATGATAAGAACTTAATCAAGCAATAAAGATCAAATAAATAGAGATATAGGATTCAATTAATCGTTTAAAGAAGTACCAACTCTGAAGAAAATCTTATGCAAATATCACTAATCACTTCCTATCTCTTTATATCTGAATTAAAGTTTAAGGCTTTAAGCTAATTCTTAAAGGCTAACAATTTATAGAAAACTCAGATATCTATTATCTATTTCTATACTGTTTTTCTACATAACAGCGTGCAGTGCAGGATTATAAGAACACTTCCATTACAATTATTGAATTAAAGTCCAGCATTGACAGAATCATCCCAATAGGCAGTTACTACAATTGAACGCAGGCAAGTGAAAAAAACAAATGATGAATAAAGCACATATCTAAAATATAGAAAGTCAGAGTAACAATATGAACATACTTCTTGAGTTGAAGCCGCTCTTCTCGATTATCTGCAGCCACAGCAGAAAAAAAATCGCAGTCACATTTTCACCAAAGTAATTAAAGAAACACAGGGAGAGAAGAAGAAAGAGAATCGACCTTCTCAGTGTAGGCGATGACAGGTGCTTCCCTAGCAAGTCCATCGGGTCCGATCTCGGGCATCAGGGCAGGATTCGACGCCATTTTTCTTCTATTTCTTTTGTTCGGAATTGAAATCAAAACTAGAAATAAAAATGGAAAACAGTCTTCTAATTTAAAAAAGGAAAAAAAGAGTCGATAACAGTGAGGGTTTACCGTTATACTCGTTTCCGATCTTGCGTTTTCCTATTAAAGAAATTAGGTAAATTACACATATCCGCGCGTACACACGTATATAATTATATACGTGCGAACATATATATATATATATATATATATATCTATGGTTAAACTTGATTTAAGTTTATCTGGTGAAGTTTAAAATATAATATTTAATTATTTTATAATTTATTTTATTATATTTTTACTCAAAATCATTATGTTTTTTATTTTTTTCATCTTCAATTCATCTTCTTTTTATAATATATTTTTTCTTTCTAAAATCAAATAAATTCTTTTTCTAATAATTAAATCCAAAACCTACGAAATTTTTTTTTACAAATAAAAAAAAAAAACTCAAACTAAAACCTAAATTTTGATTTTGCTTTTGGATGTTTCTACTAATAGTGTTTTTTGATTATATTGATTATTCTTGATTAAGACTTTCAAAATTTTTTTTATTTATTTATTTGTATGTAAATTTTAAAGTTTTGTATCCTTTTAAGAATAAAATTTTTATTGTTAAAAATTATATCAAGTATTACACAAATAATTAATTTGCATTCCGCATCCACACTAATTTCCAAGGCAACTATCAATAAATTTAGAAATAAACCCAACACCTATCACAAAAACTTATGAAACTGAATTCATCTAAATTACTCACACATAATAAATTCATAAAACAATCACAAATTTATATAATAGCGGCAAGATGTTTTTTTTTTTTTTTATGTGGGTTTTAATTTGAATTTTTTAAGAATTTTTAGATTTTTAAAATAATGATGAAAAGAATTAAGTGGGAGAAGATCAATTAGTGGCACACGCTATAATAATAAATTTTTTCAACAAATTTTTACTTGTTGAGCATAGTAAAGAATTCATGTTTTTAATTTAATTTTTTTAAAAAAGTTTAAATCTGATAAAAAGTAAAAAAAAAAAAAGTAAAAAGTTAGAGTTTATTGATTAAGTGTTATCGGCATTAATGAAAATTAATAAAATATTTTTAATACATAATTGAAAGTAATTAAGTGTTACTTTTAAATCTACAAATTCAAATCGAGTTAAACCTTAAAAAAAAAAAAAATTGTCAAGGGGATACGGATGTCTAGTACTGAGTGGGGAGGCCGGCATACCGGTTCAGTGGTCCGGTCCAATGAAGTGCGTAACGGGGAAATCATTTTTAAATCTGAAGGTGACACATACTGAGCACGTGCAAAGGCTATTCCTTCTAATCTTGATTTGGGTAGAAAATAAGGTTTCCTAAATTTCCACACTATGTGTTTGTAGAATTGTAGTGAATAAGATAATGGTAATCCTTAAAATTAATTTATGCTGCCACCTTATAATATCCATTGTCTATTCATTTAATTTAGTTAATTTCAAATTAAATTGATCAAATTATATTATTTTATTTTTATTAACAAATTAAATTTATTAATTTTAAAACTTAATTGACTAAATTTATTTTGATTAATTCAGTTAATTTTTAACTTAATCAATAATAAAATACATTTTAATAAATTATATTTTAAACTCATAATTTCTTATAATTAAAATTAACTAAATAAAATCATTTAATAAAATAATTTAAATACTAAAACATTAAGTTAAAATTTTAGTAACTTATAAAACAAAAAGGTACATTTCATGTATTTATAGTTTTATATTTAAAATTTTTATATTTCAATTAAAATTTTAATTAATTCAATTAATTAAAATTAAAAATCTTTTGAAATCATTTTTTATAATTGACCGAAATTAATTCAATGACTAATCAATTAATCAAATTAAATTGATTCGATAAATTAATGACTAATCAATTAATCAAATTAAATCGATTCGATAAATTAATTCAGTTAAAACCGAAACATAAACATCTTCGCTAAAAGATGATATCTAGTAAACTTGACATTCAAACCTTAACACTTGTAGTTCTTTTTTTTTCTTTATTCTATAACTACGACCTCTCTTTTATAAACAAAGAAGAGTAGAATCAGAAAACTTGTGGGGCATTTTGCAAAACCCACATGAGTGTGGAAGGAGACAATTAGGATGATGAAGTCACAACAAATAACGTACTCTATATGAAATAATGTTGATGGAGGTGGTTGCAGATAATGAACATAAACGGAATATAATTTTTTTTTTGGGGGGGGGGAAAGATGCAACAAATAATTTTAAATGAGCTTACCTCCCAAAATACATAACATCTGGTTCCAGCATTCTGGTGCAGCGATTTGTCTTTTATTTGGAGATTCAATATTTGATCACTTGTTTTATGATACATCAAACTTCTTTTACACTTAAATAACAAAATTAACTCAAACAGAGTAAGCAAAACTTTTGGCTTATAGATCTACCATCTCTGAGATGCAATCCATGCTCTGAACTTTAGCATGGAAACCAAAAACTAGAGAGCTTAATACAACAAAGCATAACAATTAGGATCTCTATTAAATTCTATGATGCAAAAGATTTGGTTAAGACATCAAGAACAGCCTTTTTTGTGGGCAGCGCAGGAATTGCACCTCTCTCTGTTACTGTAAGGGCTCCACAGGCATTTGCAAATAGTAAGGCTTCTCTTAATCGTTTCTCATCCTGTCAAAAAGAGAAATTCACATATATATTTCTGAGGAAACTATGGTACTACTATAACCTAGATTAATAAAATATTGGTCTATGAACCTCAAATCCTTAACGCCTGTTGCACTAATACTGTTCCAAGGGTAAATGTGTTTAACTATAAGATTCTGCAGAGATCCATTTAAATGACTAAAAGTGAAATCTATAAATAACCATTAGGATAGAAGATACAGTAAATTATCTTTCTTAAATTATGTAAGAACTATAGGTACCTGAAATAGCTCTAAATCAGAAGCTAGGCTACTCAGTAGGCCACTAACAAATGCATCACCAGCACCTGTCGTGTCAACAGGTTTAACTTTAAAGCAAGGAACCCTTCCTTTGAATGCCTGCAGAGGATATATAGGTTCATTTAAGTTTCTTTATGCAAATCATATCGGTTATTTCCATGCAGTAACTAATGACTACCATGCGCCTCCACCATTAGATAATTCGCATCACACAGAAGTCAGATGATTTTCAGTTGAGGATATTTACTCTGTAAAGGTTTTATTTGCAAAAATTAATTACAATGATACAAAGGAGCAATTAAAAATCTCATTCATTATATAGCTCCACAACAAAGTGCATCAGATGTTTTCAACTGGATAAGGACAGAAACTCTAGCCAAAAGGAGCTATTTGGATTGTGAGAATTATTAGTGAAATTTATAACATCAAGTGATTTTTTTTTAAGGAAATAGGAAAAAAAAAAAGGAAAAATAGACAATCTTACCTTGGTGTAATATCTACAACCCTCTGACCCCTCAGTTACAATCAAAAGCTTAAGATTAGGATGAAAAAGCTTCTTCATCACCACATTATCATCATAAGGGTCATCACCTCCGGTTAAGAATGTAATTTCATCCTCGCTTACCTACATTTTCATAGATTAGCTGCAAATGAATACATTAGCAGCAAGACATTTCGTGTATGAGTCTTGTAATCACAAATTCATACCTTAATAAGGTCTGCTTGATCCCATATACTCATTATGCCTTTCTGAGCAGCCTCTGCTGATGGCCACAGTGGCAATCTTAAATTTGGATCATAAGAGAGGATGCTGCCAGACCTCTTAGCAATGTTCATTGCTGCAAGGTGAGCTGATTTGGATGGTTCCTCAATCAAACTAATAGAACCATAATGAAAGATCTTTGCCTGCAATCAATATTATTTGGAGATCAGAAAATTCCAAATCCTGCCAAACCAACCAGTCTTTTCACATCAATTAATTGGAACAAAGATGAGAAATGCAGAAAAACGAAACCTGCTTGATGAGGTTTATGTCGAGTTCTGACTCATGAAGACACATATCAGCACTTGGATGACGGAAAAACAAGAATTCACGTTCGCCATCAGCTCTGAGTGTAATGAATGCCAGTGCAGTTCTTGCACTGTGGTCAAATCGCATGCCAGAATTGTTGACATTGTTTTGTTTTAAAATGTCAGCTAACATATAGCCAAATTCATCATCCCCTACCTGATATGAAATTGGAAAGCATTTGGAAATTGAAGTATGTTTAAGTAAAAAGCAAGGAATCATTGACATCAATAATTTCACGATCCAAAGAAAAAGCAGGGGATTATAATTTGCAACAAAAAGCAAGAAGTACCGGAGCTAAACAATGTCATCTCTGAGAAAGCTTCCGTCAATCACATTTCCTTACATAAAGTTTATTACAGAGACATAACTTAGTTTTAAAAAAGGACAAGGTTAAAAGTAGACAACTTTGGCAGAAAAAAGGATTTCACATTCATATTATTCTATGGCTTTGGAAGTTGGTTTTAAAGACAAAATTAACATAATTCAATTTCATTATCGACAAACATTATATTTTTGTTGCTATAGATTTGCGGGTTTTTGAAAGATTGATGTTGAGAATGAGAAGCTAAAGAGTGGTTCTTTTATTTACACCAAAATAAGAGACAGAGAAAGGTGAAAAGGTAAGCAGATTTTCATCTTCAAGGTAACCAAACCAGGAGAAAAAAAAGTATCATAGAATTATTCTAGTGACTTGTACAGAATAAAGATAGATGTTTGAATTTACCTTGCCTATGAAAGCTGATGATCCTCCTAATCTGGATACACCAACAGCCACATTAGCTGGAGCACCACCAGGAGCCTTCTTGAAAGCAGGCGCTTCAGCCAGAGAAACCCCCCCAACAGTTGGTACAAAGTCGATCAATAATTCACCAAAGCAAACAACTAGTGAATTGTTATTTGCAGAGTTCCTGTTTGTATTAGCAGGAAGATCAATAGCTCCACCTACAATATGCAGTTGCTCAATACAACAGATGTTTTCTAACATTGTTCAAACTAGAAAAATTGAAGCGAATATTCCCTACCAATATGCCACCCCTAGTACATGCTAGGCCAATCATTTCACTTGAAAAACATTAGACTAGCCTCTTCATTTTGAATTACAATTTTAA